TAGGTATTTCAACACACACTTCATTTCCATTGGTGCCACTCCTTCAAGAATTATATGCATAATATCCTGTGGCATTTGCTCTATGAGATCAAAACCTGGGAAATCAACCAACTTGCTTTGTCTATTTATGCCAAAAGTCGTTTTGAGCGAGGATTTTAAGAATTCTGTAGTTGCCCTTTCTATTTCAATGCACTGCCTAACGTGTCCGTCCAATGTCCGTCTGGTGAAACTCTGTTCATTGAAATTTGCTTGCATTTCATCAAAAGTACACTCACAATGACGACATTTGCTATATGCAAAACCGACTCCTTCCTTAAATCCTGCAAGCTCATGCTGGGCAAGAGTGTCTCCGCACACAGCAACAACTGCTCCATTTAAATAAAATTCCCCATTCACAGTGTTAATCTTAACGCCATTGTACAGTAACTTCAAGTCTTCATCTATTCTCCGTAGAATAATATCTACACCACACTCATCTATGTCCTTAGACTTTGCGATTGCGAGAAGTCTGATTGAAGCCAACTTTGATCTAAACTTTGGGTCTATGTTGCCTAAAGTGTAATAAAACATTAGTAATTTATTTACACTTGCACGTGACCCTAGGGGGTTACAAATTTCTATCTCATCGGAGTACAGTATCAGTTGTAAAGCAGAATTCTTTTTCGAAAACAGTGGGTGGGTTTTGAAAATTCTTCCATCATTGATGTCATACAAAAAACTGGCCTTGGGGCAACTCTGAGGTCCAGAACGGAGCATGTCAAATAGTCTTGAATTGGATAATAACTGTTTTAGACTTTCAATTAGAGGGATGTAGTAGAAAGACTTGTTTTTGATTGCAAGAACTCTAGATTCTCCCTTTTTAACTCTACAGGCATACTTGGAAATGATGATCTCCTCAGGTGTAACGGGATTAAAATGCATCTGTGTTGCTCGGTCCTGTAGGTTTGTAGTTGCACATAGCGGAAAGGGATCCTGAAAGTTGTCCAGTGTTGAAAGAACTTCTTCTTGTAAAGGTCCATTGCTGTCAGGATGTCTTTCAAGGATGGTCTTCATTTTTTCTCTCAAGGACGTCAGAAGAGCTGTTTGATATTGCTGGACACCAAGGACAATGTTGTTGACACTCCTCTAATGAAAAAAAGAAACAAAAAACAAAAGAAAACAACAACATCAGAGACATGAAAACATAAAAATACAATACTCAATGACTGGCTTCAGCTCAAATAAATGAAATGTAATCAAGTTATAACCTAAAATATTGTTTATTAGTATTAATTAATAATGATTGATTGTGGTTCTGCACTAGGTATTTGAGTACATGGTATAAATGTAGGGCTGGGCGATATGACAAAAAAAAAAAATCTCCGATTTTTTTACACCAAATCCGATTTTTGATTTTAATCGATTTTTTTTCTATTTAAAAACAAACTACAACTGACAAAGAAATAGATTTTCCTTTATGCAGTTTAATCTAAATCCCCATGGAGCATAAGTGTAACAGGAATTAAGCCTTAAAACATGCTTGTAAACGAGATGGCTCTGCCATTGTAAACAGTGAAAATGTAGCTTAACAGTTTTATAATAACTTCACTTACAATGACACTATGCACCTTCAAAATAACTTAAATCACACAAACAAGGCCCATCGCAAATATATCAATCCTATTAAACACATGCATTATTTACATGAAATATCACATTTTTAAAACTGATTACTCAAAATAGAAATGTTGTAACAGACAGTATTTTCCAAAAGCCTCCTCGGGTTTTCATGCTTGTTCTTTCAACTGTGCCTGAGTAACTGTGCTGTAGTACAACGCTCGGTCCAGCTGGTGGCGCTAATACTAACTTCAGTGACTCCCGCATTGTGCGAGCTTCCTGTTTACATTCTGATGCTGTAGCTAACAGCTACTGTAGCAGCTACTGTAGCTAACAGCTACTGTAGCTAACAGCTACTGTAGCTAGCAGATACTGTAGCTAACAGACAGCGGGGAACACGTTGTTTGTATCAGAGCAATGAGAGCAATGTGTGAGACGTGTCTTTCCCCAAAGTGCAGCGGCTCAGTGGGACACGAGTGTGTGCGCGCCACGGACACGGGAGTGCGCTTTGGAATAACGAGCGTGAGAGAGCGTGAAAGATGTGGCGTACGAACGGAGCCTGTGTGTGTGTGTTTTGGCGATTAAATAAAGTCTGATTCTTGAACGTTTGAAGTGTTATTGCAACAGCACCAACTGTGAGAGCGAGCATCAGGCCAGAGGGAGACTGTTAGCATTAGGTTAGCTTCAAAATGACTGCTCAACACCATAGACCCGCGGTTAGCGCGTTAGCGCTGTAGTTCTGCGCTGGAGAAAATAAAAATCGAATTTTTAAAAAAGAAATCGCCCTAAACGTAAAACTCGAATTAATGATTAAAATCGATTATCGCCCAGCCCTATATAAATGTAAAAACTTAATGCAAGAGTGACCTCTGAGGAGTGTGAACTTTATGTCAATATTATTTATTTGTAGTAAAATAATAATGATAAAATGCTTTATTGTTAAAATCAATTATTAATTCCAGTGAACTAGACTTAAGAATTGTCCACTTTTTTCAAATTAACAATGACACCCCCCTATTATTAGATGAAACGGTACCTGTGATAGGTGGCATTGCTCACGCACACCAATAGCAAATGCAGCTGCACATCTGGCAAGATCAACAGTTTCTCTTCCACCCTACAGGTAAAAAAGAAGACAATTGTGTAAGAAAAATAAGTAACTCAGAATGTGAAAAAAAAGCAAATAAATAAATAAATACACCCAACTGTTGTATCTTTTTGCTATTTCAAAATTCCTACGAGGAGGCATATCTAGTCAAGCTGCAGATTTTGTGAAAAATGTACGACTTATTTAATTAAACCTCAATCTTTATGGAATCTACTCTGGAGTTAATTGAAAGAAAAAGCAAGCTTAAGTTGAAAGCTCAAGTTCATGGAGCATCCAACCACACCCAAGTCAGGTACACAACACCAGTAAATAATGAGTTAATTTCTGTTTAATTATCTTAAAAAGGTCTACTTTAAAGATGCCAAATCGGCATTAAGTATTGTAACTAAGCCTACTTTGCTTTCCAAATCTGAGTTTCAGCAGATTCCTGCATTTGCATTTCAATACTGGCATTCTTATACTAAAAACGTTATACCTATTTAATTATTCTTATCAAGTAGCTTGATAAGTAGTAAAAAACACACAACTTTAATCCCTTAACCCCCACCTGAACCAAGCACATTTTCTCCAGTTTGGCATTACCCAAATCTAAAAACGTATTGAAAAAAGCGTCAAAATAGTAACGAAACACGAGGATGAAAGTACTGTACAACAAAAAAGTGATACTAAAGTAAAAAAAAAAAAAAAATAATAATAATAATAAAGAAGCGGGGGCGACAGAAACACAATAAACACACGGAAAAAAAAATACTATTAGAAAGTGATGAGAAGGCAAACAAACACAACACACACTCACACACAAAGTACATTACCTGATTCTGACGCGGTGTTTGAACCTCAGCTGGGTCTTTCTCCATCAAATTCTGACCTTCCTGTAGCTCCTGCTCCAACATAGCCGACCCATCTGAGAGTTCTGACAGTGACTCTGGCTCTGCTTCAGTGGCATTGCCATTGCTATCAATTTGTCTTGCTTCGGTAGTATAGTCGGCAAAAATGGCTGTACCAAACGTTTCATGTCCTAACACATCTGCATCGAATGAAGCCGTCAGCCAACCTCTAGGAGGGTTCCCTGTGGCGAAGTATTGTGGATGTGTGCGCCTGAGATGGTAGTAAAAAGAGTTGAAAACACGGTATTCCTCGGCGCATCCATCTACTCCACAAATAACACGGAAATCCGGACTGCGACTGTGTGCAGTATTGATATGACTTAAAAGAGACTTCAGCGTTAATGCAACAAAGACGAAACAAATAACGCACCTCCAGCAGGCCATTGTATTGCAAGAAAGTCGCGCAGAAAGTGTATTTTTTTGATAGTCAAGTCCAAAAGCAACTCCAGTGTCTTCGAGCCTGAAGTGGAACATTTACCACCGCTAGTTTGGCATATACCAACTTGATGGGGGTTTAATCCAAACTGTAACTAAATAAAATGGACACAAATAAAGTAAAATAAAATAATACACATCACTCAATGAATAATTTGACTATATACCCAGTTAGAAGTAACCAAGCAATTGAATTTATTCAATAAAAAATGTATGTTGTATGTAGGAGCCTCCCAGTGGTATCACCCGGAATCAACCATGTTTACCCTAAAGGGTGTGCGTAATTGAATAAGACACAATTAAACAATTAAAGCAAGTTATTTTAAATCAATTCAAAAGAGATTTACACATTATACTGACTGTTTTATGAATGCACACATTAATTGATTGGATGTAGGCGGAAAAATTGAGATGTGCACCCCCTTCGTGTTTCGTGTTGTTACCCTACACCATTTGAATTTGCTGTGTCACAGTCACAGGCGATCTTAGCCACCGTCGAAAGAAAAACTGTACGAGAACACTTCAGCAAGAAAGAGAGGTAAGCAATTTGGAACATTTGATATACAAGCAGTGTGTAGCCTAATCATTGTTTTAAATTCAAGCAGAGAGAACAATTAATTTAATTTCATTTGGGCGGGGGAGCGGCTAATGGAGCATGCTAACAGATACTAGCGTTAGCTTAGCAGCCGTCGCACATGGTTCAGAGAACATTTAGTAAATTAGCTATAACGTTGATATTGGTAGGATTTCTAGCTATGATATTGATGAGGGAAAAGTTAGCCTTTGTCAGTCTTGTATTAACTTATCTTTGGCCCATTTCCTGGCTACTTGAATTCCCTCACAAGGTCTGGGTTTAAATTTATATTTTGATATTAATGTGAGTGATTAAAGTTGGCTCAACCCAGTTTATTCAGGAATCAGGTTAGTTGATTATATATTTTGTAAGCATATTTTGTTTTGTAGGTCACTGAGCAATGGAGAAACTGGATGAAGTAACCGTATCCATCCTTAAAGGTTAGATTATATAATATATTTGTGTATATATATTGTATCGCCACTAGTTCAATTCATCTGGCGTTTGTCTTTATTAGCTGCAAGCATTGACGAGCGAATGCTTTTAACATTGAACCGTGATGATCTGAGGGACCTGTTTCCTGGGCCTGAGCACTTTATCAGAAGAAAACATGTGTGGTCAATAATTCATCCTGAGGTATTGTATACAAATATGTAGTTAAACTAATCTCAAGAAGGTGTTCTTTTATTTTTGCAGTACTTGACATTATTCTTTTTTCGTTCTAAACCAGGAAGACCATCCTGTACCACAGAAACCTGAAACAACTTCACCCAGAGTTGCAACAGCCAGCCCTCGAACTGCTGATGCGTATAAAAGCCCGCTGAAAACCTTGCAGCTACCCAGTCCTCCGGAATATGTTGTCTACACAGACAGTGAGTTGGAGCAATGCCGAAAGACCTACTCTGAATTGGCCCTTGCTGGCAGGGAACATGAATGTGTCATGTCAAAAGAACTGAGATGCAGGCTGGTGAGAAATACAATCACAAGTATGGTGTCCCTTTTGAGAGCAAGCAAAGACCAAATGGAGCGATACCCCTCTAAGACCGAAATCACTGCAATGGCAAAAAGAATTGTGGAATATTATCCTATGCTGCAGGATCAGGATACTAGCGTGAAACATGTAAGTTCTTTTATTCGTGTCTCCTTCATAGATCATTTTGTTTTGTTCAATAAGCATGTAATATATGTATTTGTCACCAGGAGAGCATTAATGCCAAGTTGCAAAAAAGGCTGCAAAATATAAAAACTCCAACCAAAAAGCAAGGACCAACACCTGACAGGGGACGGCCAAAGAGAAGGCTCACTGACCTCTCTCCGAGTGATAAAGAAGCTGATGATGAAGATGCTGATTGCAGTTCTTCAGTGGTGCATCTACTCTGCTGTTATCGCCCGCCAGCAATTCTGATGATGCCTCCACTTCATGTAAGTGTATACATGTAATTTTGTAAAATGGTTGTCAACACAGTCGTTTACAGCTAATGGTTTGTGGATAAGTCTATTTCTGTAACTATTAAAACTGAAATGCTTTTGTACCTCTCTCCATCTTAGCTGACAAGGATAGTCTGCTAATACAAGCAAGACATTACAAAACATTACAAGAAATGTGCAAGAAGCCAAAACCGAACCAAGATGATGTGTCCCAGCTATTAGACCTCGAGTTTGAAGCCAGAAGAGCCTTCATTGACTCTGACTCCATGAAGGAGGAGAACAGAGCGTCACTCATCTTGGATGCATATCCTTGCTTCAAAGAATTGCATCATGTAAGTTATTGGGGGAGTTCAAAGTGTAGTTCTTTGCTTTCAAATGAGGCGTTACACTGGCCTCTAGGCTAAGTCTTTAGATTTGGATAAAGCTAAACTGGAGAAAATGCGCTCCATTAAAATGGGGGTTTAGAGGTTACATTTCAAATGTGTTGCGTGTGGTATTTTACGTTGTTATTATTATTATTATTAGTATATATTTTTAAAACCTCTGTTTTTAGGCGTTGGGTGAGCTGCGCAGAATTTTGGAGCCAGAAAACAAGAAGTTCATAAGTCAGATAAAACTAAGATGGGAGGAATTCTGCTCCAGGGTAGAATTCTATGGCGTGTCAAAGAAGGCAATGAAGCCGCCGATGACCATGGACAAAAGTAAGTATTAAAATTTGAATACCAAGTACTTCATCCTTTGAAATGTAGGTTTATGAAGGTTTGTTTTTGCTGTGTCCAGCTGAAGCCCACCTTGCATTGATGAAGGCTCTTCCAACGCTCTTTCCCTCACCTGCCCATCCACCAAAAAAGATGGGGACTCCTTGTCAAGCGTTTCTACATGTCCTGAAGGTAAATTTTGTATAATTTACGTTATAGAGATGGACAACAGACTCACTACCACAAAATTAGGGAGGGGCTATGCAAAAACAAGTTTTTATATAGCATGTTACAATCTTGTTCTTATTTGTCTTTAAATGTGTGCCATATCTTTTGTGTCTTGCAGCCTACAGAAGATCCAGATTCTGTCCTCCAGAAACGAAGCTTGCCATGTCCAGTAGTGGTGTTCGATGGCAGCAAGTGTGTCATTGCAGTTGGTAATCTGCCAATTACAACATTTGATAAAGAAAAACTTGGTGAGGCTATGATTTATGTGATGGCATACTTTTATGCGCTCCATCTGACTTATCCCAAATGCGTGGCAACCCTGCTGTCTGTCATTCAGACAGAAGTTCTCCAGGATGCCATTCATGAGGGTGACACTACATCATCTTACAGAAAAGCCCTGGCAGAATTCCATGCATTTATTGGAAAGTAGTTTGTAGATTTCAGATTAGATTATGGGGGGGCACTTATCTGGTGGCACTGTTGTTTAAAGAGAGTTGCACATATGACCAGAGATCAGTTTTTTTTTTTTTTTTAATACCAGTCAGCCCATTTTATTTCAGGTTTCAAAAAACATTGAGATTAGTTACATTCATTGTGTCTATAACACTCAAGGTTCAGTTGGTCAGACACGAGGATTAAAGATGTTGCAATCTTTGATTGTTGATTGTACCAATCAAGTGTACAAATAAACATTGAGAAAGATAATGCTCTGCTTCAGTTTTATTTCCATTTGCCCTGTACAAGAAATATAATCTTAAAGTACTAGTTTTAGGATTTATTAGCTAAATTTAAGGAATAAAACAATCTTTAAAATGATTAAATGTACTAGTTTTTAGATTATTTGCCTTGATTTGTTCCTTATAATAAGTGTTTTTAGATTATTTTAAGATTCAATTGTCCTGATTTGTTGCCTAGAAAAAGTGTTTAAGGCTTATTTTAAGATTTATTTGTCCTGATATGTTGCCTAGAATAAGTGTTTAAGGCTTATTTTAAGATTTATTTGTCTTGATATGTTGCCTAGAATAAGTGTTTAAGGCTTATTTTAAGATTTATTTGTCCTGATATGTTGCCTAGAATAAGTGTTTAAGGCTTATTTTAAGATTTATTTGTCCTGATATGTTGCCTAGAATAAGTGTTTAAGGCTTATTTTGAGATTTAATTGTCTTCATTTGTTGCTTAGAATAAGTGTAAAATACTTATTTTTAGCTTTATTTAGATCTAGATAGTTATTCTTGTTTTAAGAAATCTTGGTAAGAAAAAATCACTTACTGCACTGGCAGATAATTTCACTTGTTTCTAGTAAATTTTCACTAAAAACAAGTGTATTTATCTAGTATTAAGGAAGTGGGATTTTGCAGTGAACACAGACTTGTATCCTGCCTGGCTTCGGTCGCTCTACTTGTACGTCACACTTTTCATACTTTCATTCTCATTTATTCATTTCTCAACGCTTACACACTTTAATCCAAAGCCCGCTCCCGTGTCCGTGGCACACCCGCGCACACACAGACACACACGTGTCCCACTGAGCTGCTGCACTTTGGGGAAAAACACATCTCACACTTGTTCACATTGCTCTGATGCAAACAACGCGTTCCGTGAACGAGTTTAGCACAATTACATACATAAATACAGTTTTAGAATGAGACCTTTGTTATTTAGCAAATACCAAAGGTATCACAGAGATGGACAGGAAGAAGCTGGACAAGGTCATCTGGAAGTCCAGCTCAGTCCTGGGCTGTTCCCTGGACACAGTGCAGCAGGTGGGGGACAGGAGGGTCCGGGACAAACTAACATCTTCACTGCAAATTATTTGGTTCTTACCAAGAAAAAAAAACTTAGATTTAGAAGTGTTAGATAATTTGTCTTGTTTTAAGAATTAATTTCTTATTTTAAGTGTTCAACTTTACACTACAATCTTATATCAAGCAAACCTTGTCTTTTTTGTCTCAAATAGGCAGGGAATCTTAAAATGAGGTAAATAACTGTTAAAATAAGATATATTACATCTTTTACCCAAAGTCTCCTCAAATAAATCTTGTTTTAAGATTCAGTAACAAACTCAACTTGCTTGATTCAAGAGTCACACAAAAAGCATCTGAAAAACAGAGTTTATTTCTCTGACTTCAAGCTGATGATGTTCACAAAACTGGCAAAGCAAACAGAAAACAGGCAAACTGGGTTCACCCAACACAATACATGATGTGTATGGTATGATACACCCATACATACAGTACTTATTGTTCCTCCAGATTATTGTCTGTGGGCAATAATGTCACAAAGACTGTATTTTATTGGAACAAAGGTATTGTCTTTGAAACTAACTGGAAAATAGTAAATGCAGTCAATTAGTTCTTTTACAAATTCTGTAGCCTGGGCAACATTGGGAACTGCCCCCTCATATGCCAGCAACTCTGGATTCAGATTCAGTGTTTCATAACGTTGGTACTCAAAAGCAACTAAAGAGGAATCTATCACAAAGATATCTTTAATCAGTCCGAACACTGGGAAAGCACCATCTACAGCTACAATAATCATAGATTTCCCACTTATGTACTTATTTCCATTGAGGATGTACCATTTCACAGAGACAACAGATTCCATGACCTCTATGCCTAAAAAATCTTTGACTTTTCTTTTAACATAATCAACATTTTTGACAGCTGAGACAGGCCCTGATTCTCTTTCACTAGCAAAAATTGGATGCTCAGTGCCTATTTCATTTTGACAACATTCAAGGAACTGATTATGGTTTGCAAGCGATTTACATACATTTTTGAAATTTAACTTGGAAGCCCACTGCTTAAAATAGCTATGCTTAGCTTCAAATCGCATACACATACTTCTTACTAAAGGACCAAAAGATATGATTTGGCTAGGTAGATGGAGCATGTAATGCTGCTTGGGAATGACATTGGATTCAGAAAAAAGTTCTTTGAACTGATGCAGATGTTGCTCAATCATGTGCCTGAGCCGCAATACAGTTTCTAATGAAATAACAGGAGCAAGGATAATTTGAACAATCTGAATTAATTTGAAAATAAATTTGACAACTCACTGTCCATATCATTCAAAATGAAAGGTAGTATTTTCAAAAGTATTAACATTTGTCCACATGACTGTTTTATTTTATTGTCATTAGCAGCTAAAGTGCTGACACTAATAGGACATGGCTTATCTCGTATATCTAGAGGTGAGTAAGGAAAAGTTATAATAGCTGAGTTAATCTCATCTAATTCTATCTGTCCTGACAGAATCAGGTTTTTTAACACAAGCTTTATTTCCATTGGTGCAACACCTTCAAAAATTACATGCATTATATCCTGTGGAGTTTGTTTGATCAGGTCAAATGCTGGAAAATCAACTAGCCTGCTTCTTCTGTTAATCCCGTAAGTGGTTTTGAGGGATGCTTTCAATGTTTCTGTGCTTGCTTTGTCTATTTCAAGACATTGCCTGATGTGGTTTTCCAAAGTTCTTTCAGCAAACTTATTCTCCTCAAAAATACTTTGCATATCATCAAAGGAGCATTCACAATGTCTACATTTGCTATAAGCAAAACCAACACCTTGTTTAAACCCAGCAAGGTCATGTTGGGCAAGTGTATCTCCACATAAGGCTATCACCGCACCAAACAACTCAATTTCACCATTTGGGGTTTCAATCCGAACACCATTGTAAAGAAGTGTCAGATCTTTTAGGATTCTTTTTAGTATAACATCAACACCGCATTGAGAAATATCATTTGCCTTGGCAATAGCAAGGAGTCTTATAGCAGCCAACTTGGACCTAAATTTTGGATCAATATTCCCTAAAGTGTAATAAAACATCAATAATTTATTTGCAGAGGCATGGGGGCCTAAAGGGTTACATATTTCAATTTCATCGGTGTACAATAGTATTTGCAATGCATTTGGCCTTTGAGAATATAAGGGGTGGGATGTAAAAAGGGCTCCATCAGTAAAATCATACAAGAATCCCTCTCTACTTCTTTGTGGTACAGTGGTCAACATTGTGAAGATTCTAGAATTGGTCAGTAACTGCTTGAGACTTTGAATGAGTGGCACATAGTAAAAACTTTTGTTTCTTAAGGCCATGACCCTTGAAGGACCACGCTTTACCCAACAAATCTTCTGGGACATCACAACTTCCTCTGGGTTGACTGGATTGAATAGTTCCCGGATAGTTTTATTCTGTCCATATGCTGTGGTTGAGAAAGGATCCGTGAATGTATCAAAAGTAGCCAAAGCCTCATCTTGGAGCTGAGCAGTTGTCTCTGGATTCTCTTCAAACACCCTTCTGATTCTCTCCCTCAGTGTGTCAAGGAGAGCAGCTTGGTACTGTTGCACCCCCGAGATGACGCTGTTGACAGTTCTCTGTGAAAATATATATAAAAAAATATATATATATACATATATATTCCCCTCATATAATTATTGCTAACAGGCCCATAGTTAACATTGAAATATAGAAAGGAATTATTACAGTAATTATATTTTTTTATAAACATTTTATAATCAAGGAATTATTATACGATATCAATAGTACCATTAAAGCATTTGTCCATCAAGACAAATTTACCTGTGACAAGTGGCACTGTTCCCGGACACTGATGGCGAATGCCGCTGCAGATCTAGCAATATCAGGTCTGGCTCTGGATGTCACAGCAACAGCCTGCTCCTTCAGAAAGTGATAAAAGTAAGAGTAGATAGACACAATCAGGGTTGATTTGAATTGTTGTTGTTTTTTTGTTTTTCTTACAGTGAAGTGTTTTTTTTTTTTCAAGATTATAAATTAGACTACAACAAACAATGAGTGTGTAAAATTGACTCAGACAGCAGTGTTATTATTCAGCAAGTAAGTACCCAGCTCTAATTACCGAGGTAACCTTAACTTTACTGGGTACTACTTTGTTTACAACTAAAAACTAAATGAACTAAAGCACGTAAATAATACAGTCTATGAGAAAATGTTTCCAATTATTGCCCTCTGTATAACGTTACAGTAGTTGAAAACATTTTGTCCCATTTCTCCTTATGGAGAAAAGCGTGCCATAATACGGACTAATTGATGAGGAACAGGACGCACGAGAGGGGAAAAAATAATTTTAATCCCACATTTGCCTCACTGGTCTTGGACCCGAGCAGCTCTATCGTCTCTTCCCCAGGTAAGTGTGAAGTTCGTTCAATTATGTGCGTTTCACGTGAATAACGTCGTGTTACGGAGGTAACTTAGCATTCACTGAAGACAATTAGCTTACTGTATATGAAAGAGAGAGTGTGTCATATAGACTGTAAAAAGAAGGTAAGATAGCCTACTCCTGATTAATGCGTGCATTCCCGGTATGGATTCAAGGAAGCCAGGCTTTGAATACACCATTGTATGTGGGAAATAAAATAAAATAAAACAAAACAAAACACTTTACACAAGTCAGCATCACACAGAGAGCAAATTAATTGGCGAGATAGGCCCTCAGAGGCAGGGACGTGCGGTGAGGTTTGTGATTGGGGAGGCACTGACTTTAAAAATCAGATTTACAATCATTATTCAAATAAAATAGCATTTAATCACCAATGCAATGACATCCACAAACTTTATATACTGTAAAGATAAGAGAACCAGCTTCTTTTAATAATCTCACAACAAATCTAGCTGCTGACTCTGCTCCGCATCAAACAACATCTTTAAGAAGCGCAGGTGCGAGAGACGCGAGGAGAGAGAGACGCGAGGAGAGAGGAGCAGAGAGAGACAGAGAGGAGCAGAGAGACGGAGACGCGAGGAGCAGAGAGAGACGGAGACGCGAGGAGAGAGAGACGCGAGGAGAGAGGAGCAGAGAGAGACAGAGAGGAGCAGAGAGACGGAGACGCGAGGAGCAGAGAGAGACAGAGAGGAGCAGAGAGACGGAGACGCGAGGAGCAGAGAGAGACGGAGACGCGAGGAGAGAGAGACGCGAGGAGAGAGAGACGCGAGGAACATAAACAATAATTTAAACAAGTTGCAGAACTCTTGAGCAGTGTTTGAATCAGTGTTTTTCGGAAAAGCACTACTTTGCCGGTATCTGTCAATGTTCAACATAAAACACAGATTAACAAACTCCTCCCCCGCAGCCGGACTAACCTCGTAAGTCCAGTGGTGGTCTCCCAGTCTATATTAATTCTTTTCTTTGTTTGAAAGTCCAATTGAGAAAA